AGGTACGGCCGGTCCGTGGGTGGTGTGTGTGTGTGTGTGTGTGTGTGGCTGGGTCGGGGAGGCTGGCTCTCAGAGTGTGTGTGTGTGTGTGGGGGGAGGGGAGATGTCCGGACTGGCCCCTGGGAGTGAGTGTGAGTGTGTGTGTGTCAGTGTCAGTCAGGGGGTGTCACGGACTCCCTGGTTGTGCCCACTCTTGGCCCCGTGCGGTCTGTTTGTGTGTGGGGGGTGCCCCTTTCAGTGCGACAGCCCTTCTCGGGGGTCCACTCTCTCCTGGGGTCAGGCCCCTCCACCTCCCGGAGTCGCACCTCTCTGAGCCTTAGCACATCCGTCTCTCGCCGTGGGTCCCCCTCAGGGAGTCCCCTCGCTCTGCCCCCCGGGCCTCCACCCCCGAAGGGGTTGATGCCACCCTGTTCTCTAGCTCGGAGTGACTCTCAGCCAGCGTAAAACAGGAGGGTTTATTGAGCCTTGAACCCAGCACAGGAAACTCTCCAGGCCTTAGGCCTGGCCTCCCTCAGCCCAGCACATCCCAGTCTCCCCTGCATCCCAGACCCCCCCTGCTCCCAGCTGGCATCTGAGATCACCGGCCCCAAGCCCCCTCTGTCCATTGTCTTCTCTCCAGATAAACAGGGTCGCCTGGGCCTCCTCTCCCCTCTTCTGTCCTCTGGCCCCTCGGGCTGGAACCGGCTGGTCAGGTCACCGGGGTCCTCTCCCCGCAGCCCATTGTCCTCCCACTGGCCAGAACCGGCTGCAACTCCCGAGCTGGGTCCTAGGGTCACCAGGTCACCTGTCACCGGGGTCTCCATGCTCCAGGCTGGTCGCCAGGTCACCTGTCACCGGCGTCTCCATGCTCCAGGCCGGTTGCCAGGTCACCAGTTGCTGACCCTCTGTAACAACAACCCCCCTCTGCCACCACCTCGTTACACCAGTAACCCCCAGGGAAAGTGAGTCCCATCCCCTCCGCATGCAAACCAGTGAAAACAACAAGGAAACCTCCTGCTTCGTCACAGGGGGGGTCTGGCCCAGCCCCGGAGCGTGTGTGTGTGTGTGTGTGTGTTTGGGGGGAGGAAGGTCTGGCCTGCAGCATGAGGAGAAAGGGTGGGCTGGGGACAGGGTGAAGGTGGGGGAGCATTGTGTAGGTGGGGCCAGCATGGCGGAGGTGTGGGGGGCCAGCTGTGGGGTGGGGGCTATGGGGCAGAAGTGTGGGGGATGGGCAGAGGCTGTGGGGCAGGGGCAGCGTGGTGGAGGCGTGGGGGGCTGGATGGGGTGGTGGCATGGTGGGGCTGGCAGGAGCAGTGGGGCGGGGGCTGTGGCAGGGGGGGTCGGCGGAGGCGTGGGGGGCTGGATGGGGTGGTGGCATGGTGGGGCTGGCAGGAGCAGTGGGGCGGGGGCTGTGGCAGGGAGGGTCGGCGGAGGTGTGGGGGGCCTGCAGGGGCTGCGGGATCAAGGTGTGGGGGGCTGGATGGGGCTGTGGGGCGGGGGCTGTGGTTGGGGGAGTCGGCAGAGGCATAGGGGGGCTGGATGGGGCAGTGGCGTGGTGGGGCTAGCAGGAGCAGTGGGGCAGGGGCTGTGGTGGGGGGAGTTGGCGGAGGTGTGGGGCGCTGGTGGGGGGCCGGCAGGGGCTGTGGGGCGGAGGCATGAGGGGGCTGGTGGGGGGCTGGATGGGGTGTGGGGTGGAGACATGGGGGGGCTGGT